CGGGCGGCCGGGCCGCTGGGCTGCGCTGCGCCGCGCCGCGCCGCGCGGCCGGAGGGCAGCAGGGAGCGGGGCCGCCCGGTCCTCTGGCCGGCGACAATGGCCGCCGCGTGTGAGCCGCCCGCCGCCGCATTCGCTCCGTGCGCCCATTGCCTCTGGGCGCCCATTGCCTCTGGCCCAGGCGCAGTGCGCTGCCACGGCGCGCATTGTCCGCGCCGCTCGCCGCCAGCGGCGCCCATTGTCGCCGGCCGGGCGCGCGCGCGCGCGCTGGACGCGGGCACAATGGCCGGGCGGAAAGGCCTTTCCGCCTATCCGCAGCCTGGGCCGCCGGGCCGCCGCCCGCCTCCGCCCACGCCCACGCCACGAACAGGCACCGCCGGACAACAGCCAGATATTCAGATCCCGCCCCTTGTCGGCCGCTGCTTGCAATCGCCCTCTTTCGATTGTCTAGGCGTGGCTGGACGGCCCCCCCTGCAGCTCCCGCCGCGCTGCGTGCCGCCGCCAGTTGTCTGCCCGCCGCGGGCCAGCGTTGTTGCTCGCGGAAACCCGCCGCCTCGCTCATTAGCCTTGTTTGTTGCGGTCGGCATCCGATCCCACGCGCCGCCGTAGATTCCACGCGCTCTGCCCGCCGCCGCTAGAGGCCCCGCGCCCGCCGCCGCCGCCGCCCTTTGGCGCAAGGTGGACGCCTAGATTGCGCAGCCCTTGTGCACACGCGCCACGCGCAAAAAGCCCCGTCACCCGCCGCGCGGTAGACGCTGCGCCGTGCACGCAGATAAGGCCCGGCGCCCATTGTCTGCTAGTACGGCTGCCGTTGCGCCATATGCAGCCCGCGCAGCGCATGCCATTCTCCAGACATTGCCGCAGCTAGATGTTTTTTTTTGGGGGGACAGCCACAGCCAAGTAGCCAGCTGCCTGCGCCCGTGACCGCCAGGATTCCGGCTCGCCATATATTGCCATTCTCCCGGCATGTATTTACACTTGGCTGGCTGACCCCCCGGGCCAGCTGCAGGGCAGAGATGGATGCATCCACAGACGTGACCTCCCCCCAGAGATGCGCCGCGGTGCCCGGTCATCTGGCCAGCTGGTGGTAATATGTGGTGGTTGGTGATGCGCGTGTATGCCGGGCAGCACAGATTGTATGTGCCGGCCGAGACATTAGGCTCTGCAGTGCCATTTTTCTTTGGTTGCAGGCAGGGTCAGCCATGGCGGGTTGTGGATGCACTGCAGCCTTTGCTCTCCCAGCTAAAAAAAAGCACAAGTGTGCAGCCATGTGCTGAGCCGCCTACGCGGCGATAGGCTCTGCGGCGATGGACTGCAGAGATAGCCAAGGCCCACACACATGTGAGCAGATCCCATCAAGAGGCGCTGCGCACTTGCAAGATCAGGGACGGCTGCAGATCCGGGAAACAGTGCCTCTCTGTCCCTCTCTGGTCGAGATTTCGCGATGGAGCCTGCCACGATCGCCGACGACGTCGCCGCGTCGCTGCGGCAGCTGCCGGCCGGGCACTCGTTCTCCGTGCGCGTGGCGCGCACCGTCGAGTTTGAGGCGGACGCGCTGGTCCCGCGGCGGCGGCGCGCGCGCTTCCACGCCGAGAACACGCTGGCGCGGCGCGTGCTGGTGCTTGTGTCGCACGGCGACTGCCTGGTGGCCGGCCTGGAGGCGCGCGAGTTCGTCACGGTTTCGGCGGCGGTTGGCGACGACCGGAGCGCCCGCGCGGCCGTGGCCGTGGACGTGTGCATCGAAAAGGTCGACACGTCGGGCGAGCTGGGCCCGCGCATCCCGCTGGCGCGCATGCTGGTGGCCGGGTACGTGCGCTCGCTGCGCGCGTACCGCGCCGTGCTGGACGTCCCGGCCGTTGGCGTGCATCTGTTTGCGCGCGCCCAGCCCGAGTACCTGTTTGCCGGGTCGCGCGCCAACCCCGGGAAGCGCGTCCTCGGCGACCTTGCGCTGATCAAGTGGTGGCGCCGCACCCTGGACTGCTCGCTGGCCGACTCGGGCCCCGAGCGGCCCGTCGCCCACTGCGTCGTGCCCGGCGCCGATGCCGGCGAGGCGCGGGGGCTGCTTGGCGCCGCAGCCTGGGCGTGGGGCCTGCCGCACCCGCCCGCCGCCCGGGCTCACGACTGCGTCCTGCAGTTCCCCGACGACCCCGCCGCGCGGCTGCTCGCCCAGCCGCACTCTGGCGCCTGGACCGTCGCGACGCTGCTGGAGATGCTGGCCCTCAGCGAAGAGTGCGGCTCGGGCCACCGCGCCGCCTACTTTTCGGTGCGCCTGCCCGTGCCGCCGCCCGCCGATGCCCCGGAGGAGCCATCGCCGCCCGCAGACGCTCTGCGCGCGCTGTCGCCCGAGGACTACGACAAGATGCTCGCCGTGCTCTTTGACCACGACATGGACTTTTCCACCGCCGCCGCCGCCGCTGTGTCTTCGGCCCGCCTGACCAGCTTCATGGCCACGGCGCTGGGCATATCGCCGACCGAGGTCTCCACCGCCGGCCCCGCCCAAA